GCCCAAGTGAACCACCTGGGTCTTTTCACTATATTACCCCAGAGAATGGTGTCTGCAGGGGAAATATTTCTGCACTATAGAACACCCATGGAAAATCCCCTAACCAGACTTACTGAACTCACAGACAGCCGCCAGAATATTCACTACCACAAAAAGGATCCTGTAGAAGGGAACAGGTACATGGTGACCCACAACAATCAAAGGGTCACTCCAAAGCCTACTGAACTACTGCACAAAATTGAAACAGACAACCCACAACATTGTTCCTTTGAAGCAGTCATCTGCAGGACCTTTAGGTAACAAACCAGAACCAGATGGTGGGAAATTCATAACAACTAGTGAATTGGTTCCTATTTCCCTACAACTATGAAGAAATACACAGCCAAAGAATTATTAAATGTCCAAATCCCACCAAATCTAAACCCAAGATTTAAAAAGAAATTTTTCACCTTGAGATGGCTTAATATTAATAACTCTAATTTCAACTTTGATCATACAAATAATTATTTAACTGGAATGAGAGATGTTACCCCATTAGCCAACACTGCATCTTCAACCCATTTGAATGTTTTACCTAATGGTTTAAAGCATTAATTAGAATCCATATTCCTATATTTGTTTTTTAGCTCTAGTTTATTTATACAGGCTCCTCTTATCCCATATTTTTTCTTCTTTTATCTGCAGCTACTTCAAATGCCACCATCCATCTTTTTTTTTTCGTTCTACCTTGATGTTAAATACTCTTTCATATATTTCCTCTTTCTTATTTTTTTTCTCTTTTTTATTTCTTTCTGCAACTTGCTTTTTTATTGAAACTCAAGAATACAAATGTATTGAAAAAGAACACCACAAAGATTTGATTATGACTTTGTAACAATAACAGCATGATATTGGCACCAAAATAAACATGTAGACCAATGGTACAGAATAGAAGACACAGAGAGAAAAACCACATAAATACAGTTATCTCATACTAGACAAAGGCGGCAAAAATATACATTGGAGAAAAGATTGCCTCTTCAACAAATGTTCTGGGAAAACTGAAAATCTATATGTAGCAAAATGAAACTAAACCCCTATCTCTCACCATGCACAAAACTCAAGTCAAAGTGGATCAAAGACCTAAGAATTAGACCAGAGACCCTGTGCCTAATAGAGGAAAAAGTAGGCCCAAATCTTCATCACATTAGATTAGGTCCCCACTTCCTTAACAAGACTCCTAAAGCACAGGAAATAAAATCAAGAATCAATAAATGGGATGGACTTAAACTAAAAAGCTTCTTCTCATCAAAAGAAACAATGAGGTAAAGAGAGAGCCTACATTTTAGGAGCAAATTTTTGTCACACTCAGGTCAGATTGAGCACTAATCTCCAGGATACATTTAAAAAAACTCAAAAAAATTTACAACAAAAAAGCATACATCCCACACAATAAATGGGCTAAGGAACTGAAGAATCACTTTTAAAAAGAAGATATACATTCAATCAACAAATATATAAAAAAAGTTCAAGATCTCTAGCAATTAGAGAAATGCACATCAAAACTACTCTTAAGATTTCATCTCACACCATTCACACACACAGTCGAATGGCAGTTATCAAGAAGACAAGCAACAATAAGTATTGACAAGGATGTGGGGGAAAAGGCACACTCATACATTGCTGGTAAGACTGCAATTGGTGCAGGCAATCTGGAAAGCAGTATTGAGAAGAGACAGCATTCTTAAAAAGCATCCAAAGGCAATGATCATATAGGACAGTGATATAGAACTCGGCCACATTAAAATGCGACAATGCCAAAGTTCTTCATGGCAAAGCATTCATAAACTTTGCAGACTGGAAGAAAATCCTTGCAATATATTTAGCAAAGGAATATATTAATAATAAATAGTTTTGAGATGTAAAGATAGTAGCGTAGAAGAAATTTAAGTTGCAGGAGAGGAAAATCATATAAGAAAAACTCCTAATTGCCAATGGCACACAAAAAGGATCTACTGGACCAACGGTGAAGGAAGGCAAAATAGAAACAACTAAAGAATGCCAATTCACTGTCATCTACTTTGAAATAAAATTTAAAATTAGAGAATTAACATAGAGTTATAACAGGTAATATGAAACAGTATTGGTGGCAATATAACTGGTATGTATCCAGTGAGGGGTAATATTGCACTACCTATTTTTTGTTGTTGTTGTTGTTGGCTTTAGATGTACACAGTAATAGAGTGTATTTTGACATATTATACATACATGGAGTGCAACCACATTATGATTCTGATCCCATTTTTGTGGTTGAACACTATGTGGAGTTACACTAGTCATGTATTCATGTATGAACACAGGAAAGTCATGTCAGACTCATTCTGCTACCTTTCTGGGAGGTGGGATGGGAATAGGAAATCTTTTTTTTTAAAATATATTTTTATTTGTTCTAATTAGTTATATATGACAGTAGAATGCATTTTGACACATCATACATAAATGGAATGTAACTTTTCATCCATGGTTGTACATGATGTAGAGTTGCACAGGTCATGCAATCATGTGCACATAGGACAGTGATGTCTAATTCATTCTACTATCATTCCTACTCTTATGCCCTCAACCCTTCCTTCAGTCCCCTATGTATAGTCCAAAATACCTTTATTCTTCCCAATAAATAATTGGTCAAAGTAACTGAATAGACACTTCACAGAAGAAGGAACACAAATGGTTGACAAATATATGAAAAAAAAAAAAGTTCAACATTCAGTAGATTAGAAAAAGGGAAATGAATCAAAGGGATGGGGGACAGGAATAGGAAAGGCAGTGAGATGAATTCGACTTAACTTTCCTATGTACATATTTAAATACATGACAGTGAATTTCCACATCATGCACAACTACTTGACTGGGATCCTAATTAGAAGAAGATGTACTACATGTTTGTATAATTATGTCAATATGTACTCTTTAAAAAAAGTAATCATGGTTTCATACTACAGAAGAAACAGTTTCTCCATCAGGACTGACTGAACTGTCAGGCTCTGGTGGCATAGTTCCTAGAGCCCACAGTATTTTGGGAGCTGCTGGTAATGTTTTTATATTAACTTGTTTTTTAATCAGATGAACAAAATGAATAGAATAATAATATAAGTATATGACAATGGATCTAGCCATATTTATATTAGGTATTTTGGACTAGACAGAGGGGAGTGAAGGGAGGAGAGGGGAATATGGGGTTAGGAAGGATAGTAGAATGAATTGGATATTAATATCCTTTATATATATATATATATATATATATATATATATATATATATATATATATATATATAACTACATTACTGTTGTGATCCTACATCATGTACAACCAGATGAATGAGAAGTTATATTCCATTTATGTATGATGTGTCAAAAATGCATTCTACTGTCATGTATAACTAATTAGAACAAATTTTAAAAAATGTCACTACACAAAAAGCCAAGTACCAGATGACTTCACAAATGGTTCTATTTTTTTCTCCTCCTTTCAGTTTTTTCATCAAATTTAATGCTTTTGTTATTTTATTATAGTTATATGTAATAGTTGATTTTATTTTAACATAATCATATTGACATAGAATTAATTTGTTCCATTTCAATCCCAAGTACCACCTCTTTCCCTCCTCTCCACCCTTATGGTATTTGGTTTCCTCTACTCTACTCTATTGTTCTTCCTTTTCTATATATTTTTTAAATATACAAATGATGGAAACTTAAAAAAACTAAAGATAATCAAACCAAACAAAACCCTCTATTCAATGAGTAACTATTACTGTCCTTTTTAATATTAGCTTTCAAGGCAGAAAACAAAATGCCTTATGAAATGTACAGCATTTATATCCAGCAAAAATATTTAAAACCACCCTTCAAATGTTTTTGAGATTAACTTAATACTTTGAGCTTATATTTATTACTTATTATTATTAATTATCATCAAAATAGTTTTCTAATATGTCTAAATGGCTAGAATTTTTTGAAAGAGTGTAACAGAAAAAAGAAAATGACACAGAGAAAAATCTATAGAAATCTTCAAAGGGGTAATTTTTAGTCTTTGTTTGAATATAAGTATGAAGATGGGCAGTATTAAATTCCATGAGACCAGACATAAAAGAGCAAATAGGAAAAAAAATCATTGGGCAGCTGTAAGCACAAAATTTTGGGATGTTACATAGGAATGAGGATCATTTGAGTTTCATGAACCAGAGTGGGGAGAGCACATTCAATATAATAATTATTAAGTAAATTTCTTCAAAGGCTTATAACTTATTAGTTGGGCTGAATAAACACTACTCAAGGCTACTCTGGATTCATTGTAATTAATCTTAAGCCACAAAATGATCAAGGTGCTCTTCAAGAGATTCCCTGTATTGGGAAAAAAAAAACTCAAAACTTTATAAAGAAAAAATTTAAAAACCTATCACTCAAAACTATACAATTCACAATACCAAAGATTCCCAAAGAGGTAGATATAACAAAAAGTAAACGATGTGACCAGTCATCATAGGGAAAACAAATAAGTGAAAATAGACTCAGAAAGGAAAACATTAATGAAAAAGACAAAGAATTGTAATGCATTCCAGTGTCATTTATTTATTTTTTTAAATCAATAAAAAAGAAAAACACAAGATGTTCAGTAGTTTAAAGAAAGACAGTATAATATAGAATAAAATGAGAAATTTAAAAGCTTGCTTAATGGAATTACTAGAGACACAAAATAAACTATCTCAGAGGAAATTTTTTGTAAGGTAACAGCAATATGGCCTGAAGAAAAAAACATAAATCATAAATCTGAAGAAAGAAAAATTTTTTAAAGAGTAAGAGACACATAAAAAAAAGGCCATATATGTTTCTATTCAGAGACAACAGTAAAAATTTGAAAAGGTAATGAAAAGATAGAAAAATTTGAAAAGATAATGAAAATTTCCCCAATATTATAGTTAAAAAACCTATGAATAAAAATGAATTATAAATAGGAAAAATTCAAGCAGAACCAAATCACACCAATTACTGTCCTTTTAAATATTACATTCACATTGTAGCTAGGTGTATTAAAACAAGTAATATAAGAAAAAAATTAAACCAGATTTTAAAAAGGACATATTACTTACAGATAAGTGGATGCAGACTTCTAATCTTAAACTTTAACAGGTAAAAGACAACAAAATGACATCCTGAAAATAATGGCAAAGAAAAAATACCAATCAAGAATTCTATACTAAGTGAAAATATCTTTCAATATAAAGCATTAAGTTATATTTTTCAAAGACAAAAGCTGAGAAAATGTATTTCCAGCAAACCTGCAATAGAAATGTTCAAGAATATTACTTACGTGAAAAAATTAAAAATGCAAATGGAATATATTTACAAAATGAAAAAGAATGAAAATCATCATCATCACATCATCATTACAGTAATACAACATTTATTTCAAATTAAGAAGCCAGTAAATTAACATTAAGAGAATAAAAACAAAATACCCTTTCTCACCATTTGATATAATTCAATAATTATTCAAAGTTAAACAATAACAAAATTATGAAAAACAAATATTTTCTTAACTCATAAAACATTATCTATGGAAAACCAGGAGACATTACATTAAATGGAAGGCTGAATGAAAAATTCTTTTTCCCAAAGTCCATGCATATTCCCATTCAGCAGTGTAGTAGATATCTAAGCAATGTAACATGACTGAAAAAGAAATAAAAGGCTAACAAATTGGAAATAAAAGGTAAAATTTTCTTCACAGATAAGATGATCACATTTATAGAATATCTGAAACATCCAAAAAGGTACTTGAACTAATGAGCTAATATAGCATTCTCTTAGAATACAATGTTTCAATCTCAATTTTAATTCTATGTAATTGACTAAAGAAGTTGAGCTTTTTTGTGAGGTTTATTGGTTATTTATTTTCTTTTATGACTTCCAATATGTTGTTTATTTGTGAGATTATTTTTATTCTAATGAGTTTCAAGATTTTTCATATATTCTGCAGATGTCTATCTTATGTCATTTTCCAAATAGTAAAAAGCAGGGTTTTAATCTTGATATAGAGTAATAAAAATATTTTTGTATGGTTGGTAGTTTTAAGTTCTATATAAAAATATTCCGCTTACTTTAATTTAGCTAAGGATTCCACTTTTGTTTTCTTCTAGAGTTTTCATAGTTTTCACTTATGGTACATTTCAAGTTAATATTTTTACTGTTTTTGAAACAAATATTACTATACATAAAATCTTCAGTTGCTAAAATACCATTTGTCTTTCTCCATGAATTTTTGTACATTGTTATTTTTAAAACTCAATTAAATTTTTACATGTGGTCTTATACTGGATCTTTATTTTTCTAGAGTAGCACTATGTCTTGAAATTATAGAGCGTAACCCATAAGGCATGTAATTTCAAATATATTACTGCAAAAATTTGAGTAAACAATACAGCATTATATGAACATCAAATTAAATACATCATAAATAACAGGAGTCCAAAGGACCCACTCCCAATGATCTAACCGCCTTCTTCTAGAGCCTAATCAACCTCCTAAATAATTTCCTCCACTTCTCAATAGTGTCACAGGCTGGGGACAAAACTTTCAACATCTTTGCAGTACATTTAAGAACCAACATATAGGAAAGTGTATATTTATTTAGTATATTTAACTGAGTCTTTTAAAATTTCTATGACAATGCTGTGTACTTCTCAAAGCAAGATTCTTATAGTATTTTTACTTTTATAAGAATTTAGTCTATCATAAAATGTATCACCTTTTTAAACTTTAAGCTTCACTTTCTAATTTTTGAATGCTTGTATAGATTTTAAGTCACTCAGTTGGAGCTATGGATATAACAAGTTGCTGGTTGGAGAAAGCTGAATCTATAAAGAAAAGGGCTGTCTCATGAGCAGTTTAGCCACAGAAGTGACTCTGCTTTTGCTAGATATATGGCCCAAAGTAAGGAGAGAAGGAATGGTGCATACTTCGTGGCCAAAAGTAGTAGAAAGTGATAAGGACTACACCTGAGCTCAACTGCATGAACTTCACTTCACTGTGATTGACCTGGCTGCCATTATTGCTGATGTCAAAGCTGTCAATAGCATAGATCAATATTAATTTAAAATATGACTTTCTCTTCTGGGAAGATTAGACATTTACCTGATAGCAGGTTGATTACAATAGATCCATTTTATCCTGGAGACATCCATGGTTTGTTATCATTGAAAGATACACTTTCGCTGGATATGGATTTGCTTGCTCTGCATTTTCAGCCATTGATAGTATCCTGGTAGAAGGCAATATGTCGATTTTGTCAAAGAACTAAAATCACATAAAATGAAATGTAGTTTATGGCTTAGCCCAATAAAATTATTGGTTTATTATATGGTTTATTATAAATAATTAAGTAGCTAGCTCCTGTGGTGGATTGGTGAAATAGTTTATTGAAGCCTATTTACATTACTAAATACAGATAATGTTCTGTAATATTGGATGCTTTCCCAAATTAGGCACATTCCTGATCCATAGCTCAATGCTCCCCCACCCCACAGGCACAATTTATTTACCCAATCTCTTCTTACTGCTAAACACAGCACCCCATTTGAAGCATTGGTGCTTTCCATTCCTGGAAGGATGAGAAAATACAATTGATGACTATATCACTACAATAGTAGAGCCAATAAAATATAAAATAGGAAAAAATAAGAGAATTTTAAAAAAGATAGAATTAGGGAACCACTTCAGAGGGATTAACATAAGAATAATAGAAAATGAAGGCAATGAAATAAATTTTTCTTTTTAACAAATGAAGTAGATGAGTTTTCAAATTGGGAGAGCAGACTTAAATACATCAAAATTTATGAAGATAGATCAATAATACATTAAATTACAAAACAAAAAATGTTTAGATAAGATAAGTCCTTAATAAGTTACAGAAAATGGAAAAGATTAGTTTCTCACAATAGATCAGTAATCAGGATATCTACAGAAATCTAAAAAGTACCTTAAAGTACACAAAAAAAGTAGATAATTCTCTCTCTCTCTCTCTCTCTCTCTCTCTCTCTCTCTCTCTCTCTCACACACACACACACACACACACACACATACACATAAACACACACACAGAGACTCATGCACACACACTAATTTTTCAATTTAGTCACATTTAAAGTAGATTTTGCCTTACGGATGTAAAGGAAGAAATCTCTCATATAACTGGATCGTGTGGAATGAGAAAGGAAAAGGGGACTAGGTCTTGGTAACCTCATTTGTACTTCTCAGTCATTCTAAATATGAATTATTAAGATCTAGTACTTTAAATTTCAGTTAAATGAGTCAAAATTAGTATCCTTAAAGTCGTCGTGTTTTCTGTTCATTATGATTAAAGTAATTATAAATTATGTAAGAAATTTGTTTTATGGCAAGTCAGACTGAGTTAATGTTATGATGCATCTTTTAAAACAATAATAAAATATAAAGTTAATAGAATATGAGGAATCTGAGAAATGATAGCCTGATTTAGTAACAATATGCTAAGATATAAGGTAATGAAATGTGTTTCATCTTTATGAGCAAGCACTTTAAATGAGAGGTCTGGGAAAAATATTAATTTATGTTATGCTTATTCTATGTGAGGCACTGGGATTTTTTTTTTTACAAGGAATACCTTAGTAAACTCTCAAAAATGAAATTATAAGGTAGGTAATATTAAAATTATTACAATATTAATATACAGAAATATTGAAAAAAATGGAAATCCATTGCTATAAAATTATTGCTGTTATAAAATGACAACCCATATATTCTACAGTGGATATATATTTTTAGATCTACTGAGTTCATGGCTAGAGCCAAAATGATGTAGCAATTGAAAAGCATATTTTAAGTCACTTACCTGAGATAGATATCAAATAGACTTTTTGTCAAAAACAACAAAGCTATCTTGTGAGGCAGTGCTGTGGAAATATTCATCGTCTGAATTCCTTTTTCTTAAAATTTTAAAGCATGTAAACTAGAAAATGATTTTACAGGAGTTGGAGAAATAGAATGAGGACATCTTCCAATTGAGTAATCTAAATTTATTTAGTATTTGTTTTGAATGACCAGACAATGACACATTCATTCATGTCATTGGTCACACTGAGAACTTAAAGTTACTCATTATGAGAGCTAAGCCCCTTGAAACCCGACAAGAAGCAACCAAGTACTTCAGACATTCTATTTTTTTATATTATTGTATCTAACTAATACAAAAAATCTAAGGTATTGATATTATCTGATTTTCAGATAAAAAACCTGAAGCAATTTATAGATGCCCATAAAACTGTAGAACTGTTATTTGAGTACAGGATTTTTTCAAGTAATTTTAGTCTTACTCATAGTTGTGGCCAAAGAAGCTGTGCACAATCCCATTAATATAATAAATCATTTAATAACAATAATGACTTTATGTAAAGAAGAGTCCTGATAGAATTTTAGTTCCTATGTGGCAATTAATATAGGCAAAGAAATACAAAATCTAATATGTATATATATTATATATTATATATATTTTATATATATAATATATAATATATATAATATATATATATATTATATATATAATATATATATATATATTCATATAAAGTAGGTTACACTCACATGCGAGTACATATGTAGGCTCACCACAAATCATTTATTTTATTTTTGGAAACATTAAATATATAAGTATATATATATACATTAAGTATATATATATACATTAAGCACATGTACAGTCCAGATAATAAGCCTTATTACTGGATATATATATTTTTAAATAATTTACATCTTAAAAACATCTCATACCTTGCATTTTTCAAAAGGTTGCATTCTTGGATTGGGAACACTTTGACCAGTTACGGGTGATGATCATTTCATCCATTCTGAAATGACCAAAGTCTAGTTTTATAAAAGAAAAAAAATCTGTAATTTCAGAAATTGAAGTGTCATTTTCTAGCTACTTTAGATATCTTCTAAGAGGAAGAAATGCTGTGAATCATCAGCCTCATTATAGTAATGTTAGGGCTTGGTTTAGCTGCAGCAATATTTATTCTCTGTGTCTGGTTACATCTTTAATAATTACACAGATCTGGCAATGCTGCTTATATAACCATTGACTGCTGGTTACATCCAGCTGCCAGCAATTGACCATAAATTATAGTTAGACCAACAGCTTTGGAATCTGATGTCGATGCAGCTGATGCTTTTAATTTACTGATCCTGTTATCATTAGTGTAAAGTAGGTGGTAAGGTGAAAAGAGGGTCAAGGCTAAATCCTTCAGATGTTGAAATTCTGCCCATAACCATAACAGACAATTATCCTTCATAAATGATTACTGGCAGTGTTTTAACAAGAGTGACATCTGCTGGCCCACATATGCAGTTAGAGTAATTCATATTTATATAATCTTTTGCAATAGCCTAGCTTTATTCCTGCAGATGGCAAATCAGATGAGTTTATAATTGCAAAGGACAATATTTAGCATCAGAGAGTTCTTATTCAGTGATTTTCAGTTTCTAGTTAAAACAAAATGACTACATTTCTTTGCTTTTTGTTGTGACATTTTATTTGCAATTTCTTAATGTGTTTTGCCCTAGAAATGCTAGATCTATCTTGTTTTTGAGCACAGGTTCCTTATGGTTTACCGAGTTTATAAAATTTTAATTTTAGCAGTTGATTGTGGTATTCCAAGACTATTTAAATTGAATGAAAATATTAAAAAGCAAAAACATCATTCATGTTTATTTGTTGTGCATTATAATTTTAATCACCATACCAAAAGAACAATTGTGCATTATACTCTTGGCTAGATGTTCCGTTTATCGTGTGTATGTATGCACACATTTGTGTGTGTATCTGCATGCTTGTACATGGGTGAGAGAGACAGAGACCAAAAAAGATTATTTTCATGTTACTTGAATCAATATTTCATCTCAGCTGAGTCAGAATGCAAATGAAGTGACTTGTGTTTTGAACACTTATATACTTCGTACCTCTATAAGTGGTAGCTTTTTTGTGGGTAATCATGACTAAATTATATCTCGTTAAAACAATGAATCTTTGTGGACATACTTTTTACACTTACAGTGATTATTGTAGAATTATATTATTAATTAACAAAAATCTTTTAAATGTATAGATGTAATATCATCTTATGAGAAGAATATACAAGTATGTACTTAATAAGAAAAAATATTATCTATATTAAAAGCAAAAATTAGTACTGTTTATATCTTGGGGTAAATAATTTAACATGTGTTCTTATGTAAAATTATGAAGCAAATATTTTTTTCTTAGAGCATTATAGTTGTACATAATAGTTGGTTCATTTTAAGAAAATCATACATGCAAGGAATTTGATATGCTCCATTTTAGTCACCATTTCTGCCACCTTTACTTCCTCTCCTCTTTCTCCCTATTTGCCTTCCTTTACTGATCTTCCTTTCACTTCTTTGTTTATTTACTTATTTTGTGGTGCTGGAGATTGAAACCAGAGTCTCTTGTATGAGAGACTAGCACTCTATCAGCTGAACTATATCCCCAGTATGTATTTATTTTTGATTGCTGCTTTCTACATATACATGGAATTCCCTGTGATATATTTATGTGTGCTCATAATGTGATTTTGTTTAATCATTTTGCATTTCCTTCCCTTTCCTTTTCCTCCTTCTTCCCTATGATCTCTTCTTTCTATTACACTAATATTTCGTATATATTTCTGATAGCTGATCCCCAATTTTTATCCCTTAGTCTGTCTAGCTTCCACATATGAGAAAAAAAAAACAAAACAAAAAAAACAACAACAACAAAAAAAAACATTTGATCCTTGATTTTCTGGAGTCTCTTGTATTTCACTTAGCATGATGTTCTCTTTTTCTGTCCATATCCCAGAAAATGCCATAATTTCACTCTTTACAGCAGAATAAAACTCCATTGCATATATAATATCACAATTTCTTAATCCATTCTTAATATTGACGGGCATTTGGGCTGGTCCCATAACTTGGCTATTGTAAATCGTACTGCTACAAACATTGATGTGCCTGTATCACTATAGTATGGTAATTATAGTTCTTTTGGATAAATACCAAAGAGTGGGATAGTTGGGTTATATGGCGTTTCCATACCTAGGTTTTTGAGAAACCTACATACTGCTTTCCAGAATGTACCTTTTTCCCTATGTCCTCATCAGCATATATTATTATTTGTATTCTTGATAATTGCCATTCTGACTGGGTTGAAATGAAATGCATTTCCTTGATAGCTAGAGATGCTGAACATATTCATTTTTGTATATTTAAGGCCTTTTAATTTTATGCATCCCATATTGATTCTTGGTTTTATTATTTATTTATTTTTTTGATTTTTTTGGTGTGTAAGGGGGTTACCAGGGATTGAACTCAGGGGCACTCAACCACTGAGCTACATCCCAGCCCTATTTTGTATTTTATTTAGAGACAGGGTCTCACTGAGTTGCTTAGCACCTCACTTTTGCTGAGGCTGCCTTTGAACTCCTAATTCTCCTGCCTCAGCCTCCCCAGCAGCTGGGATTACAGGTGTGTGTCAGTGCACCTGGCTTGATTTTATTTCTTGAGCATTAGGGTTCATATAAAGGAAACTGGTGTCCGAGACAATGTGAAAAAGTGCTGCCCCTGTTTTCTTCCAGCAATTGAAAGGTTGCTGGTCTAATTCCTAGGACTTTGAACCAGTTTGATTTGGTGCAGGTTTAGCATTACGGATGTAATTCATTCTTCTACATATGAATATCCAGTTTTCCTAGCACCATTTATTAAAAAGATTTTTATCCAAAATAGATTGTAGATTTGGGGGAACTTATATGATAATGATAGACACATAATATTCTGCAATTTATTTTCACCCATATTCTAGCCAGATGAATAAGCATCAATATTATTTTTCTGTTACACAACAATATTGTTGAAATATAATTGAAAAATTTGTATTATTAATTAATTGAGATAATGTTTCATTCTCCATTTTATTATGTTAAATTTTTTATATGTGTTGCTTAAGTCTAAATTTCATGCAAGTCTAAATTTTTATAAGAGAACGTGTTTTGCACCCTACAAATATGTTTAGATGTTGATAGTCATTAATCAATTTCATATCTTCATACATTTTCTCATTTATCCTGCAAAATAATATTGTAAGGTGAGTAAATACAGCTATAAAAAATAAAAGTATGTAATGTTTGGCTACATGATATATTCAGATTAAACAGCATAATGAGAGAATTAAAAAGTCAAACCAAGTAATTCTGTCTCTAAATCTAAAAAATCATGTGGGAAACTTGCTTTTTAATATAACTTAGTCAAATATATGTAAATAGAACAAAAAGTCAATCAAATGACTTTTGAAAAATTATTCTTCAATAAAATAAATATTGTATTCTACACCAGAAAAAATCATCATCTCATAGGAGTCCATATTTTATAATATACTCTTAATATCATCAGAGAGTGACTAATTATTTGTTTTATTTTTTTAAATGAAACTAACCTAGTGCTAGTCAAAGAACTTGAGAGATATTTCCATCTTCTAAGGTCTTCTTCATTTTTGTTTTCTTCTAGAGTGTTCTAGTTTTGATTGTAGAAGTCTTTCACCTCTTTTGTTAGATTGATTCCCAAATATTTTTTTTAAAAAAATTATTGTGAATGAGATAATTTTCCTAATATTTCCTAATCTACCCTAATCACTTTCAGTTGACTCATCACTGATATAGAGAAAGAAACAAATGTATGGGTATTCATTTTATATCCTGTTACTTTGCAGAATCCACTTATGTGTTCTAGAAGTTTTCTAGTGAAGTTTTTTTGGGTCTTCGAAATAGACTCATGTCATTATCAAATAGTTTGAGTTCTTCTTTTTCTATTTGTATCCCTTTGATTTATTATTATTGTTGTTATTTTTTCTAATTGCTCTAGCTTGAGTTTCCCAGTCTCTGTTGATTAGTAGTAGTAAAAGAGAGCATATTTGTCTTGTTCCAGTATTTAGTAGAATGCTTCCAGTTTTTCTCCATTTAGAATGACATTGGCCTTGGGCTTAGCATAGAAAGCTTTTACAATCTTGAGATATGTTCCTACTCCTAGTTTTTCAGATGTTTTGAGCATGATTGGAAGCTGTATTTTGTAAAATGCTTTCTCTGCATCTGTTGAAATACCCAAGTGAATCTGTCTTTAAGTCTGTTGATGTGCTGTATTACTTTTAGTGTGTGTGTGTCTGTGTGTCTGTGTCTGTGTGTGTATACATTTTCACTTTTTATTTCTTTCATATATATACACACACACACACACACACACACACACATACATACACACACACACACACTCTTTCACTTTCACTTTTTATTTCTTTGTCATGGAATATTTTATTGAGTATGTTTTTTAGAATAGGCTTTCTAAAAGTTGTGAGTTGTGAGTTCTTATAACTTTTGTTTACCATAAAAGGTATTATTTTATTGTCACTTATGAAGCTTAATTTTTCTGGGTATATTATTCTTCTGGCATCCATTTTCTTTCAGAGCTTGATATATATTGTTACACACACACACACACACACACACACACACACACACTAAATCTAAATCATCACATCACTAGACTTAAATACACACACACACACACACACACACACAATCTCCAAATTGTATCCCTGGGATGAACCCCACTTGATCATGGTGCACTATCTCTTTAGTATGTTTCTGTGTGAGATTTGACAGAAATTTATTGAGAATTTTTGCATCCATGTTTATCAGAGATTTTGTCTGTGTGTGTGTGAAGTTTTCTTTCCTTGATGTGTCTTTCTAGTTTGGGAATCAGAGTGATACATAGAATGAGCTTTCTATTTCATGGAATAATTTAAGGAGGATTGGTGTTAGTTCTTTTTTGATGGTCTGATGGAACTCGGTTGAAAATCCTTGTGGTCCTGGGCTTCTCTTTGTAGGTAGACTTTTCATGGTTTCT